AATGGGACGGTGATATATCAATACAACCTGGTATAAAAAATGAGAAATATCAAAGTATGCATGAATATTTCAGGTACATCGTTGAAGATAGAATTAGCTAACCGTTATTGCGGAAAATCTTCTCTTAACCGTACGGTTCATTTGCTAAGCATTCATTGCCCTCCAAGACAATGCACTCACTGCATATCTCAATACTAAGTGAGCTGATGGAATTCTCAATAAGTTTATCAACTGTCTCTCCTGATAGGAAGAAGAGAAAGAAGACGAAACCAGCATCAATTATCACTCATATCTGTGTCAATGTTTGTCACCAAAGCAGTGACAATCATTAGTATCACTGAGACAACTGCAAGCACTAATACTCTACTAGGTCCAGCTAGACAAAATTGTATAGATTAAGCTTTTTAAGGTGAAGTTTACAAATAACTGGATAAGAAAGTGACCTTCAAAATTCCTGTTAGCTTTAATTACAACATTGTTGATTTTGTGAATGTGGCATGTTCAATCTTACGACAACAGTTTTTAGTAATTAGACCATCAGCTAAAGAATAATCAGAATCAATGATCACTAGTCTTTGTGCGAGAGAGTAATTCTTGTAGTCTGTTTCCCCCTCTCACCACCTCGTTGTTTTTATCACAGAAGTATATGGCCTGATTCATTCTGTCACATGAAGTACTTTTATTATCTAGGTCAGATTCCTATGTATTTTGTAGACGTTTAGAAATCACACAAATATTCTCATTAACTTCACTTCACTTCAATTCGCTTTTCTCTAACGCAATGAACATTACATAGTTTAAGCAGAATGGAGAGGTGAAGGATCACTCTGATAATAGAAGCACCCAAAATCATTATTTATAAAATTAATTCAATAAAGCAATCTGTGTATACACTATGAAAACGTGGAGAGATACCAGTCACCATAGTTGATTCAAAGCAACCATCATCTTGTGTGGCTTAAAGAGACCTGTGAAGTTGTTAAACATTTCAACAGCCATGATCAGGTTGAAAATTTCAGTGTCACGCTTTGTAGTCCTAAGGTAATTTCCTAGTTGACGAAAGCATTTATTCGTCTCTGAATATCTTAAATATTCCAGTAGTCGATTTGTCATGCCACTTGTTATTCGCCTCACTCACGAACGACCCAAAGTTTCGGTCGTGCATTGGCGTCTAGTGTTTCACAGATTATAGCAATAGCCTTCTCGTGTTTTTGACTTGCTCGATACTTCCATCAACCTAGATTCTCTATGAAATATACCTGAATGAAGACCTAGTGAATGTAACTCCCACGGAACACTGATGTAATCAGGATATTCTGCAAAAATATAAACATCATTCTTATTCCTACTTGAGTCCCTTGAGAAAAGCTCAACCTGGTGAATGTTGCGTGATATATCTGTGCATTTTCAGAGAATTAAAAGTCAATCTGAACGAAGAATATTCTTTTCAATAATTTCTCTTCAGGTTCTTACAATTATAAAATATAATATTTGTTGTCGTTACAATAAGGCCAGTTATGCGGCAGATACATTTTTAACGTAGAATAACAGATTAGTTATGGGGTGTCAAAATAAATAGTCGTATTTGTGTGACAAACGTGCTAGGCTGAATTCGATTACAAAATAATGTAAAACGGGAGACAATGGTGATTAATCATAATAGATTTGTAGAGTGGGGGTAGGAAAATTGACAAGTCAGTTCAAGGTTATAAAAGGGTGTCAGGTGAGTGGCTAGTACAAAGTGGTCTGTGTTAAACAGGAGATAGTAAGACTGCATTGGGAGGTTCATAATGAGATAACGAATATGTGAAATGAAACAGGTGGAGGCATATATTGAGAAAAGAGATTATATCACTAATAATAAGTCCGGATAGTATAAACGAAAAAAAAAATTCGATAGTATTGAGAGAATGTTTGCATATAATGTTTGATATAATCTCTTTTCTCAATATATGCCTCCACCTGTTTCATTTCACATATTCGTTATCTCATTATGAACCTCCCAATGCAGTCTTACTATCTCCTGTTTAACACAGACCACTTTGTACTAGCCACTCACCTGACACCCTTTTATAACCTTGAACTGACTTGTCAATTTTCCTACCCCCACTCTACAAATCTATTATGATTAATCACCATTGTCTCCCGTTTTACATTATTTTGTAATCGAATTCAGCCTAGCACGTTTGTCACACAAATACGACTATTTATTTTGACACCCCATAACTAATCTGTTATTCTACGTTAAAAATGTATCTGCCGCATAACTGGCCTTATTGTAACGACAACAAATATTATATTTTATAATTGTAAGAACCTGAAGAGAAATTATTGAAAAGAATATTCTTCGTTCAGATTGACTTTTAATTCATAATATGGGAATTTTCGACACTATCAAATTTTCAGAGATGAGTTCCTATTTCTCCCTTTGTTCAACTTCACTTTAAATTTCACATATATTGTCCTCAAACTATTGAAGTTGTGCCATTTTAATATCATGAGACATGTTAAGTGACAGTTATTTTATGACGAGTAAGACAAGCTAACATTAGAATTCGACCGAATTTTTATTTCACTTGGTGATGGCGATAATTTGTAATTGAATTGTCATTTCTACAAATACTTCAGAATCAAGTGTTTGCGAAACTGAATGCTGAAGACATAATGAAGGGCGTTCTCAACGGAATTCTTACTCTTCGCTTTAAGCATCAATCTACTGGATATTCACATGTAGTTATCAATACTTGAATTGCAGAAATGGTTGTTTTTCAAGATGTAAGCGATTCTGATCCACTCCTTACATTCAAGGTTATGTAGGATATGTCCCATTGAAAGAATCGATGATGAACTAGAGACACTTAGACAAGACCTCATGGGAGATGAACATCCTTCAAGATTAATCTAAGCATGAAAGTAAGACAAAAACCAGAAAAAGAATTCAGACAGCGCCAAAGAAACTGCTATTCTTGAACGTTGAATTTACAAGTGATGCTGTAACCAAGATACTGGAGAATCGCTTATCCAGATCACTGAGAAAAACCTTTTTTTCTGCTGGACTACGTATCAATTTATACAGCTAACAAATGATCAGTGGATTTGTGAATGATAAAGTGCTGTCAATTCAATGTGTGTTTCTGTCGAGCTAGTTTCATTGACCGCACGATGTGTACACTTTCCAAACGCATCTGTGAATATTATTCGGCAAAGTTAGCAAAAAGACAATGCAGTATAGATACTGGTTGAATTCACGAGGACTTGATGAACTCAAGCCACGCAGCTCTAGCAGAGTCGTCTTTCAAGATTATCTACAAGGTGAGACGAAATGGTACAAAGAGTGTTAGGTATTGGCATTTGTGTTTGGCGGAGTTGTTCACAACTCGTCAATGCAATCGTGTATTTTGTAAAGAGAAAACGTTTGTCCAACGTTTATCCTTTTAGCTTAATGTTAAAAATTGGATACGCTGGTAGAGTATAGCTCCATTTTGTTTTGATATAAATACACAGTGTTGTACAGAAATATTCACCGATGACTGATTTCGAATTATTGTGTAAGTATGAAGTACAAAAATACATGAACATATCCATAATGCATTAAAAAGAATATTATTGAGTGAATGAATCTCAAATAAGTCTAAATGTGGGTGATACACTTTTCCATGGAATTCTTGAATGACTGATCTTTCCGTACAAAGTATGATTGGCAGCAAACGCTTTGTAGATTACACACTGGTAATGCTGACGCAGTGCACATGGCGAACAGGGGCGAGGTTTCCCAATCTGTGGAACCTTTGGAGGGACTTTCACTTTTATTTCTTTACATGCTAACGTTATCTATTAGGCAGTGAATAACAAATACCCAATTTTTGGGCATACATGTAAAAAGTCGATTTCGATCAGGACTACAGGTGAATATGGAAATGCTGTGGTCTATTTATTTCCTTATTTACAGTGGCTATGCAACAATCATTCAAGAGGACACACAATGGATCCTTGCATGATTAGCTGCGTATTTCATTAACTAGACATTAATTCTCCATAAAAAAGCCAGTTCATGTTTGCTGAAATACCCGATATAAAAACGCAATAATATCACGTGTCACATGTGTGCTTGTCTGCTCGTAAACTGGAATAATGTAAGTTCAGATGATCAGCACAAGTTAATGGCACACAAGAACAGCCGGTGAGCACTCATCTGATATCAGCCATAGCAGTTATTCCAAAACACATAAATCTCTTTAAATGGTAAGTTGCAATAATCATTAAAACCATATGAAATCTATAGCAAAAGACGGTCTCCTAATTCTAGACATTCAGAGACCTTAGTATTGATTGACTTTCATGGCTAATTTGGTGATGAATCTCACTCTATTACTTCCTCACGTTTTTGAAAACAGAAACTGCTTGTTTCTCCAACACCACTTTCACTATCACCTCAACTCATCACTCTATTTCAATGATAAGTACTAATCGTGTGTTGATGATCACTCCGTTCTCAAGGAACGAGTCATCACTGACCGTTGAGACCACAGCTGAAGCATACATCCTCCTCAATAGCCACGGTATTCCAATGACAAGTTTGAGGACGGATTTGTTATTGAAATCGAACTAAACCACACGTTATACTGGCGATAGGCAACACAGACGGTCCTGATAAGATAAAAGTAATTTGGCTAATGTCACTGATACCATTATCAAAAGTAAGTCTTCCTCATTGATGAACTAAACAGCTGAATTCCATATACCGTCATTTTAAGTGTGAATTTGTTAACGTTCATAGACATGCAAATGACTCAGGCTGAGAACAGCGAATTCATCTGATCAGTCGGAATAAGTTAATTAACTGGATGATTAAATTGTATTTAGAAAGCAGACAGTAAGCGTTAACATAAAAAGGAGTAATTTAGGTAAATGTTTTAATTAAATCCACTGCACATCAATACATTTCAGTAATATGCAGAATAAACGTTTCCGATGCTAGCGTGAGCAGGACATTCACATTCTTCTCTAGTTTCTTCCTCCTACTCCTGTAAAGAAAATAAAAGCAGTTGAGAATTTATGATTTTATGCTGCAGTAAACAAGACCGAATGTCACGAGTATTGGGAGAGACACGAATGAATCGATAAGTTTTGACTACCGATGTTAACTTTAGGAGTAGAAGATCAAGCAACGCCTGTTGCGAGCATCATTCCATACCCAGAATGACTGAGAGTTAGTGACTCCAGTCATCCTGATCCATGCATTATATTTCAGATATCTCAAATGCAGTTATTCGCACTAATGCTTGTGTGGGTGTGGGTGCGGCTGTCAGTGAGGGTGTATTGGGAATGTCTGACATGGTTCGAATCGACTTGGCCACAACTAGTGTTCAGCTGTGAAGAAGTCGTCGCTTGAGTTTTGTGAATGCCAAATCTGAGATACACTGAATGATTGTCTTCACAATACTAAGCGTGATTCCATATGATATGATATTACATGATACCGATACCTACAACTCTTGTCACTGGTGTTCAAAATACAAATAATACTGTTTTCACGTGGACTGCATTTCAGTTTCAGTTATACACATTTATCCAAAAAGATGAGATGACAGTTTCTCTCATGATTGACTTTTGAAAGATGCAATGTGGGAGTTCGCATGAGGTAGTAGTTAAATCTTACGTTTCAAGTTCTTAAGGGTAGTTTCATGAATTTTCTTGAACACTTGAAAGTGAAAGAGCAATATAAAGGTGACGTATTAGTTGAAGGAAAGCAAGCCTTGTTCATCAGTGTATATATTCTCTCTCCTACAAAAGATAATATCCGATCAGTAGTAATAAAGTACTTTGAATAAGTGCATGTGTATACAAGTTATTTTATGAAAGACATTTCATGCTCAATCATTCAACACTGCTCGTATTGTTGTAACACTCATGTGTTAGGTAGTTTAGTGGTATAGAATTGAAGGCGGCAGTTATTCCAAAATCTGCGTTGTGATGACTATTCACTGTTGTTATGGTTGTTGATTCTGATTTTGACAAATGTGACGGCTGGTCTCCCAGACGCGTATAAACGCACATGTGAACACATCAAACAGTTTCTCCTCAACCGATCAATTTCTCCTAAATTTACTCCATTCCTTTTTTGCATTTCCACGTTGCGTAACAGAGTAGTAGCCATGCGTGTGGATGTGCATTAGGTCAGATTTTGTGTAAATAAACTGTTGCCTTCGAACATTTTGATGATTTCTACTTGAGAAGTGATCCGTTCGTTGACATTTCAGATTATTCTAGCTTTCTGTGGTCGGTTGACATTCTTCAGTGAATAGACCTATATACAACCAAGCGTCGCATACCGACTACCAACTGATGCACAGTTCTCCGAGAACCTGCTTATTCCAAGATAATTCTACTATTGATTTGGATTTTAAATATATAGCCATTATCAAGCGAACATTATTCATATAATCCCCGAGAGGTTTGCACATAATATGATCGCTGATTAAACAGAATATCAGGCAATGTTTGCGCTTTGGTTTTGTGAATAGATATTGACGCATATATCGAGTGTGTCAAACCCATGAACAAAACAGACGGAACTTACAAATGCTATCACCAAATTGCATTTGGTCATGGTATGATTTTCGTATTAACTTCTTCACTTCCTGAAGATCTGAAATTTGAAGAATAATGTCTGAATTTCAAAACTGAATGTCACAGAATCAAATATTGAAACGTGATCATGCAGAATACTGTGAAATAATTGATGGTTTGGTTTAGGGTGTTGTTGTTTAAGCAGACGACTACGTGTTCATTCACTTGAATGTCGATCATTGAACGTCTTTGAAGACAGTCAAAATACTTTTGAGAAACCCTTACAACTCTATCGTTATCTGTTGAATTCGCATAATATTGACTCCATCAGTATCATAGGACTAAAAGATCTACCTTATAAGTAAATATACAGGAGTGTTCAAATTACATCAAAAGTAGTCTCAACTACATCAGATAGTTTCACAGACTTCAAATTTCACGTCATTGCACTTCGGAGATGTAATATGTGATAGCGACATTGAAAGGAAAGCAGTCTGATTTCACACTCGATGCTGTATCGTGCACATTGGTAGTTCAAATTCGAATTCACTGACAACGCCACCAGGTGAAAAGGTATGTGAATCCTGTGAAAGAAACTCATCTGAGAATTCATTTGACTTCCGAAAATTGACCTGATGAAATTCAAAATTTTTTTCCCAATATCTTCCAAAGCAGCGATCTTACATAATTTAATTTAAGGGTGTGTTGTCATTAGTAGATTACCTTTTTTGTTTCCTGATGGTTCATAAAGTTCACAGTTAACTGTTGCTGATACTGATTGCCACTGAGCTGATTAAGAAACAGAAGGGAAGAACAGCACATTGAAACAAAGAGAAGGGAAACATTCTTTGAAGTTATCAATAATAACAAATACTCATGCAACTACAGACCTATTGAATGTAAAAACACACACAAATCAATGTGGACTGAGTTATCTGGATTTACAAATCTCCAATCCGAACTCTGTGGTTTGTGTCTGAGATAATCAGGTGGGTTCAAAACTCAAGTTGATGCAAACGTAAATGACAAGTCAAGTTAGGAATGTTTATTCGATAAGTGAGAAGGAAGGATTCAAAACTAAACTGTTTACCTTCGTGAGCCTTAGCCTCTTCCTTGAAACATTGTTGAACAGAATGGTCCACAGTGAAGGTACCTGTATGTAAATGCATTTCAAACAACATTTCAACTCATGTTCATTAGATTCTGAAAGTCTTATTAGATAAATGCGTGAGTTTATATACTGATTAGTGAGTGATTTAGATGCTCCTATCACATATATTCTGAAACGGTTATATGGACTAAGGTAACTGTCTTCGATAACTCTGGTTTCAGATTGTGCAGTAACACAGTGATGAATGTTTTTCACAAAATGGCCTGTAAAATATCTGATCAAATTTCAGTGAGCATCGTGTACACTGGAAAAATCACTATCAGTAGGTAGTAGTAATTCTGATAAATTGTTGAAGTAATAATTCAGGAAGTAATTTTAGTGGAGGAATCAGGGAGACCATGGAAAGACGGTACGATGGTTGGTAAATAGAGGGTGAGCATAATGCAAGTCGAACATGAATCAACTACACGATGCCCAAGGATAACTTCATCGCTTAAATGCAGTAGTTCCTTATCATATGACATTGTAACTCGAGAAGCATTGTCAACACTCAAATTATATACAGGATGCAGATTAACTGATAACAACAACACATGAAGTCAACTGACGTAAACTCAATTTACCATACTCCACAGGTCCGTTGTCGGCATCTATGAAGACAGAAAATGATAACTGACACTAAGAGATCATACAAGAGAATAATTCGTAATGCAGAATTCATCACTGTAATGTATGTGGATTAACATCACAGCTGACTGATTCCATGATATATTCAAGCATAATTTGTAGATCTCTTCTACTGACTATCACAATGTAATGACACTGACCAGCCCAAAGCATCCAATATCCATGAAATTTATTATTCCTTATTACATCCAAAGACGGAAATGATTCTCTTCAATCGTCCACTTTCCATTAGGTTATTTTCCAAACAACTTCACAATGAATATATTCATCGATTCAATGAAGTGTTCATTCCATCGAAATTTCTAGTTAATGTCATTTGCCTAATGATCGATATTGGTGACAGAACCTTCTTAAATGATCCCTGACTTTAGAGTTCTGCACATGGTCATACAAATCGAAGGACCAGATAATGTGTGCAACAAACTGTGATGTAGATTGAAGCAAGTTGATAATATCTCGAAGAAAGCAGAAGTGAAATTCCCCGAAAATGTATCCTTCTTGACAGCCACAATGGATCACAAAGCTGTCAACATTAAATCAGTGAGTAATCTCATTAGATAAGATAATTGTTTCAAGACTGCAAGTGTAGTTTTAAAGTTGCAGGATCTCACTGAATTGTTCTGACTGCAAAGTTGCCGTGTTCAATCCAAATTTTGAACATTTTAAACAAGAGCAATAACCCAAACTCATCTGATACCCATGCAAATAAAGGCAGTATATACCGTTAAATTAAAACTTGGAACATACTTTGGAATAATACATATCCAAAGTAGGTTTCATAATACTTTCTCCAACAGCTGATATCTGAAAGAGTTTGTTAGTCATAGGAATTCATTAAACCATCACTCACAGTTCTCAATGGTTCTGTTGCCTGTATCTGAACTTTCTTCAATAATCTTTTCTATAGAAAGAGAGAAGTGATAATATCGATTGCATTACACCGGACACCTGTACAAAATTCAACATTCAGCATGTAGAAAACAGTGAGTTAATTGGCTATTATTGCAGCATCCCTACACCGTATTGTATTCATTTTACAACAGAGTAAAGGTCATGACCATGAACGTGTGAAATTTCCAATTGGAGTGAATGTGAATAAATGTGAAGTGAATTGGGAAATCAGGTAGATGCGTTTTGATGAGTCCATCATTTTTTGCGTGGCACTAATATAATATCCTCACTTGAGTATGTATCATGTCAGCTGGCTCCATGTATTCACAATATCAAAAGTTAAAACATTACCACGAAATAAATCATGAGGAAAATATCCTGAAAGTATAACCACTATATCATGCAAACATGAGATGTTGAATTCGAGTAGACCGAGTCAAATTATCAATCACATTGAAATAAATGTTTACCTTGCAGCTCTTTAATCGCTGCTTCTCTGCTGACAATCGAGTCAGCTAATTCGCGTAATTTTTCTATGAAAAGGAAAGCGAGAATTATTTAGCAGCGATTTTTGAAAGCGATAAGATGTGACGAAACATTGAGGAACAGAACACACACAAAAGCTTGGGTAGGTTAATATAAGACCAATAATATATATCAACATGTAGTCAGTCGTCTTACGTCGAGTATCTGAAAGCAAACTTTGTATTACTTCAGATTTGGTCGATTCACCTTGAAAATTGACAAAATGAAGAGAACAGCCATCGTTACACAAACCACAACTTTAATAACACATGAATACGATGTAAGAATTTGTTAATTTCAGACGCCTGTAGTGCCATTTGAGTACTTGTTTTTTTGGATTCGTGATCTGAAACACTCTTATGAGCAGAACACCAGTTGAAGGATTAAACTTCCCTGACAGCACAGAATTGAATGTTTGCTGCACTCATTTCCTATTTCGGAAATGGAGAGATCATCGACATCGAATTATTATTCATCATTGACGGAAAATGATGTGTTGAGGTGTTGGTGACATAATTGTTTTTCGTACAGAAATATGATCACGGAATAGTCTTACATAACACTTATTTGATAAAACAATTACATTCATCGTATTCCAGAACAGAATAATTTGAAAAGATTGATTCCCAAATGCATATTCATTTAATAAATGCTTACCCTCGATCATGGTGGCAAACACCAGCAGCGTTATCACAGATATGTAAGTGTACATTGAGTTGAATATATTTTCTCCTTCCTCTGATTTCTCTGGTGCAATTTTCCAGCTTTTATATTCTTCCTGATGGTGAGTTGTAGCGTTGTAATGCGTTTGTCGGTTGATAAAAATAGTGGTGCTTATCTTGTTTTCCATTTGTTGAATGAGGCGAGTGTGTTGATTAGTTGTTGGTGGTTGGTTAAGTGATTTGGTGGGTGAGTGGGTGGATTGATTGGCGTACGTTCAGCATCACTATAGTATTCTTGTTTTCACGCTACAATGAATAAACTCTCTTAGTTAACAAGTCACTCTTATAACACAAATCCTGCTAGATGCAGATGAAACTCTAAAGTAAGTGTTGTGTTTATTCATCTGGTTAATAAGAGACAATTCAGTAATGAAAATTTTCTTTATTGACGAAGTCATCTTCGGCGGCTGTACAGTCGTATTTATATTTATCGAAAATGCTTATTAGTCCATTAGTGACTGAGTAGTAGGGGTGACATAATTGAGAAAAAGTAATTAGAAGTGGCTTCAAAAGTAAAAATAAACGCTTCAAATTACGTGATACGTAATGATACAATGGAATGAAGCGTCAGAAATTTGCTAAGGTTGAAATTGTTATTGAATAAGAAGAAAGATAATTTAGTGATCATCGCACAATTGTGAAGAGTGTGAGAAAATGTACAGAAGGAACATGTGAGAGTGATAATAGTGAATCTATTAATAAAGTAACAGCAAAGTAATTATTCAAATTAGAGAATCAGCAACGATTTATGGAGAGTTCAAGAACGTGCTAAAATAAGACTTGACAATCGCTTTCTGTAAACAAAGTTTCGGTTTGCATTCACGAATTGCCAACGTTTCCGCCTTACACAAATGCTGAAACCTGACACCCATTGTACAATTTGACCTCACCTTGCAAATAATCTTGAAAGACGACTCTGCCGAAATTGTGTGGCTTCAGTGGCTCGACAAGTACTCAAGAATTCAGCCAGTAATTGTATTGCATTGTCTTTTTGGCAGTCAAGCCAGATTATGTCCACAAATGCGTTTGGAAAGTGTGCACTTTGTGCAGCCAATATAACTAGCTTGACAGGAACACACATTCAGTTAACGGCACTTCATCATTCACAAATCCAATGCTCATTGATCGGCATTAAAAAGTGATCCATAATGTGGATAAGAATTTCTTAAGTATACTGGCTGCGGCATCACCTTTAAATTCAACGTTCGTGAATAGCAGTTTCTTCGGCATCGTCTGAGTCCTTTAGGGTTATCCCTTTCCTTTCATGTTTTCCACGAATAATCTTCAAAGATACTCGTTTTCCATGAGGACTCGTCTGAGTGTCTTCAGTTCACCATCGATTCTATCAGTGATACATTATCCTAGATATCCTTGAGGATGACAATTGTATCAGAATCGAACAACTGCTGAAAAGCAATCACCGATGCAAATTAAGGTAGTCAAAATTACATGTGAATGTCCAGTAGATTGATTCTCAGAGAGAAGAGTCAGAATTCCGTTTAGAACTCCTCCAGAGTTTCTCCAGGATTCGCAGTCACTTGGTGCAGAATTTTTTGTGGAGATGACAGTCAAATTCCAGATTATCACCATAACAAATGACGTCTGTGAATAATTGCTCAACAAAAGAGTTTTTCAGAATGTCAGTTGTGATGTTTTCAAGCTAACGGGTCTTCATAAGCTACACTAGATGACGTTTGCTTTGAATACACAATGGTGACTGGTGTCTTTTCACTTATCACATGGTGTATACGCAGATTCCTTTATTGGAATAATTTTATACATAATGATTTCGGCTGATTCTAATATCTTGTTATATTCCATCAAACAGCCATCACAAATAACAGAAGACGAACATTTCTATTCATTACACTATGTGATAAATATCTCACGAAATTTGTTGAAGTGTATTCGAGGACAGTGGATGACAAACCATGAGTGATGTTGCCATTGTGTGTAGAATCACTATTCTCATTGAAAGCATGTGATGTGAGTAGCTAGGTCACTTTCTCGAGTCCTATCACCACATCTCACAGACATCTCCGCTGATATTTCTATGCAATTCAGTGTGATCCTTCTCTTCTCTACTCTGTTGAAATAACATGAAGGTAATTGTGTTAAAGATAAGTGAAGCGAAGTGAAATGAAGAAGATGAAAACGTTTGTGTGCTTTCTGAACATCTAAAAATATACAGGAATCTCACCTAGATAATAAAAAGTACTTCATGTGACAGAATGAATCAGGCTATGGACTTCTGTGATAAAAACAGCAATGTGTTGAGAGGGGGAAACAGACTACAAGAATTACTCTCTCGCACAAAGACTAGTGATCATTGATTCTGATTATTCTTTAGCTGATGGTCTAATTACTAAAAACTGTTGTCGTAAGATTGAACATGCCACGTTTACAAAATCAACAATGTTGTAATTAAAGCTAACAGGAATTTCGAAGGTCACTTTCTTATCCAGTTATTTGTAAACTTCACCTTAAAAAGCTTAATCTATACAATTCTATCTAGCTGGACCTAGTAGAGTATTAGTGCTTGCAGTTGTCTCAGTGATACTAATGATTGTCACTGCTTTGGTGACAAACATTGACACAGATATGAGTGATAATTGATGCTGGTTTCGTCTTCTTTCTCTTCTTCCTATCAGGAGAGACAGTTGATAAACTCATTGAGAATTCCATCAGCTCACTTAGTATTGAGATATGCAGTGAGTGCATTGTCTTGGAGGGCAATGAATGCTTAGCAAATGAACCGTACAGTTAAGAGAAGATTTTCCGCAATAACGGTTAGCTAATTCCGTCTTCAACGATGTACCTGAAACATTCATGCATACTTTGATATTTCAAGTAACTCTGTATTTATTCTCATCTTTTATACCAGGTTGTATTGATATATCACCGTCCCGTTGTGTGAACACCACCCATTGAGTTATGCTTACGATATGTCTTTCTTCGTATTTCACCTCTAATTTGAATGTGTCTCTTTTTGCCTGTGTTATGATAACATTGACAAAGCGTAGTTTTACGTTTGCGATTTTTTAGGTGACGTCAGTTCTGACCTTGGGGTGTTTTATAAAAGGGTTTGCTTCGAGAGTTCTATTACCTTCATATTTAACCAACACTGAGGGAACTATTCTACTTGATACTCAGGTACTTCTGATAGGTGATTTTGATGAAATAATTCTGTTGCATGGTAGTTGTTTTGGACTTGTGTCGAAGAAGTAATTTCATCTGTGCTGCTGCCTAACAATATTGTCGAGGTAATTTTACGTTTTGATGTTTATTAATTGATGTAAAGTAACGCAGAGCTCATCACAAATAGCTGTCATTATACTATCGCCGTGCAACTCTTAACTGTGCACTACTCAGCGGATTTATCGTTAGTTATACAGTAGCACTCAAATACTGCTTCCCTCAAATCACATCACAACACATCGGTTCCGCTCGCTACAAACACGAAAACACTTGACATGGTGAATTGTTCGAATGTAGTGATCTAGCAAACTACCCACATCTTCTATAACAATGATTGCGGATCAACTATTCCCTACTAATTGCCATAATAATAAAGCTTCATTTCAGACGGTGTGTCAATACATGATACAGATATTCACAGAGTGTTCGTGTGCGTAATCCTTCATTTTCGTCAGGATCAACAAGTGAAATACGTATCTGCAGAAGAGCATGTGATGCAGTTTTGTTGCATATGCTGACAAATCACGTTCTCTCAGATATTTACCCATCACAAACTCTACAGCTTTCTGTTGGAAACCAATCAGAAATGTGTGTGAGTTTGTGTAGTGATCAAGGAATACTACCAGATGGTTGAAACAATAAGAAATCCACATGATCAAATCAACTAATCACCCATTTCTTCAGATAAACACTTAGTCTCTTTCTCTGTACGGTGTCCACTGCATTTGTAGGAATGAATACAAAATCTGTTTGCATGTCTTTGCTTTCGACTGAATCTAGTCGAGATCCTCTTACGAAGTAAATGACCAACAGGCTGTGCGTCGATGGCACAGCGGTTAGGACTCTCGCCGACCATGCACATGGTTCGAGGTTCGATCGCTCGCCGACGCACACCTGATATCTATGGTCGGCCTGCTAAATTTGGGCTACCGATATCACATGCTGAAAATTTCATACTTGAACCAGAGTCTAGGTCCTGATGGTATACCTGACATTGTCTTAAGGAAATGTGTTGATATTTTAAGCAACCCAATTACAAACATGTTTAATACCTTTTTTTCTAATAATGTTGTACCTTCTCTGTGGAAAGATATTAAAATCATCCCTGTACCCAAGTCAGGCTCTGGTAATAATGCTAAGTTTAGACCTATCGCTGTTACCTCTCCTTTTTTGAAACTAATGAAGAAACTATTGTTACTAAAACTTGTTCCCTCGCTAAGTTTCTCAAACGATCCAAAGCAGTTTGCCTATAAACAGGGTAAAAGTACTTTGGACGCTGCTGCTGTGTTTCATCACAACATTGTATCCTCCTTAGACAAAGGGGCCAAGTTTGTCCGTTGTAAGTTCCTTGACTATACATCTGCTTTCGACTCGGTACCTAGAGGCCTATTGTTAAACAAGCTTAGCCTTACACAAACTGAGCCCTGGGCTATCAACTGGCTACACTCTTACTTCTATAATAGGATGCAGTAAACGGTATATAATGGTGTATCTTCCTCTCCATTGCTTACTGAAGCTGGAGTTCCTCAGGGTGCTGTTCTTTCTCCGTTTCTCTTTTCCTTCTTCTTACATGATTTACCTCTCTCAGATGAAATCAACTTCGTCAAATATGCAGATGACCTGTCTGTATTGTTTCCCATTAAGTCTCAGTCAGACTGTCTCAAATTAAATAGCTTCCTGTTGGACATCAGTCAGTGGTCCAAACTAAATGGTCTCATGCTGAATCCCTCAAAATGCCAGACTATTG